ATAGTTCCCTCATATTCTGGGCAACTGCCAGAGAAGCAATGCTACAGAATAAATTAGAATAGTCAATACATGCTTTCATTTAGCTCTAATAATCCAATGCAAGCATTTGGAATAATACCTGTCAAACATGCCCAAAGGATGGCATTTCTCCAACAGTTCTTGGACATCTCTCTCATGCAAAGTTCCAGTGACAATTAGGACAACATTATCAATCATGTGGCCATACCTGAACCATATGATTAAATACCAAAACTCAGATTTGATTATGTAGCAGAAGTGGGTAATAGTGTAATACGCTAAGCTAGATGCACATAATGCCATTTAAGGCTCTATACTGACCAGTATTATTATGCAAATTTTCGTACAATACTAAATGCTTAGCATCAGAATAATAAGGATAATATGACCACCCTACATTTAGCCATGCATACACTCATTCAGGTGGTGAAACATCCTCTTCTTTGCTTGTTTAAAATTATTGGGGAACAGTCAGAGAAGATGATAGGCCTGGAAAGTTTAATTTAGTTTAAAACACAGCATGGCTCATTAACTTCAGGATCTAAAGCTGAGGATTATCTTGTGCACAGCAACACACATGTACTTTTTGTTATTTTTTATAAAAACAAAAGGAATACATGAAATGTTCTTTTTTCTTCTTCGTTTTTACACTACTGCTAGTACATGTTGCCAAAAGAGAAAGCTTTGAATATTACATTTGATAAAGACTTTAATGTATTACTCCCTATGTCCCAATTTATGTGATTCACTTTGACTGGCACAATGTTTAAGAAAGAAAGAAAAGACTTTTGAAACTTCTGGTCTAAAACAAGTCATAGTTATAATCATCTCATTAAAGGTAAAATGGAAAACGTAAAGAAATTATTCTATTTCTAAATAAAGAAAGGTATCATTCTTTTGGAATAGACTAAAAAGGAAAGTATAACACATAAATTGGAACAGAGGGACTATATAATACATTGTTGTTGGTTTTTTTTTATGAAGTAAAGGATTTCATTAAAGAACACCAGGGTGATGCGAAAGGAAACAGTGTACAAAGAAAGAGAGTTAGTTTCCTTATATGAGTACTAAGCTAGTATGAGTATCAATCAAAGATCTAACAAAAAGCTGTCAACGCTATTAAAAGGAGAAAAAATGTTCCAACTAAACAGATTGACTAGGCATCTAGCTTTTAGAGTATGAACACATTGTTATTCAGATATAAGGTTTCGTAGAGGTGAAACTTCCGAATCTAGAACAGAATGATTTTTTTCGGGATAAGTGTAGAATAAAATGAAGTTATGCATACATTTACATGCATGACTCTCAAGTTCCTCTCTTCCAATGAGCAAATATCTAAAGAACGTTTAAACTCAGCGAGGACACTAAGTATTATGTTCCCTTTGTTGTATGGGGCCATCTTGGGTGATGCTAAGAACCGCGAGACTGTTCAACTATCTAGAGGGGCTACCTAGTGGTGTAAATGTTAAGAAACTTTAAGACGCAACTCCTTTTCGTATCTTGTGGAAGCTGCAAATATAGATGTGTTAGGACTTATTTATTTGTGTAATCAAAATGATGTAAATGGTATACATGATTGTATTGATATTTTAAGCTCTTCAGAGCAGTAACTAATCATAAGGATGGGTAACACGCACTTCATGTTTATGACTAAATTACTTTTAAGTATATTTCATCTTCCCTAAAGAGCAGCACCAACTTGGTATTGTTTCATCCTTTTCTTATTTTAAAATGGTAAAAGTATTGTTTCTAAAGAGCAGAAAACTGCTGCAAAGTACATAGGATTTTTTTTTTGATGAAGTAGTATTTACACAGGAATTGTTTCATCTTTTTCTTAGTACATTAAGGGTGTGTTGCAAACTGCTATGCGGCCATAAGTCCTAATGCGACATATTACAACATATGTTAACGTAGTAGTAAAATGAGTTCTCAGTTCATTTATACAAAGATGTGCTCTTTAATGACAAGAGGAAAAATTCCAACATCGTTCATTGAAAGAACAAAGTTGTACTCGTATTTCTCTAAGATAATTCTACATGCATCATGCATGGCAAAACTAAAAAGTGGGTATAGAGTAAAGAAACAAAATTTCCCCAGCAACACAAATAATATTTACCTGATGTATTCCAGAAAGGTTGACAAGGGCTCTGTGGCTTGGCAGAGCATGTGGTTGAACTCATCTACAAGTTTGACAGTACATTTCTCCACAATCGTAGTAGTGTGTAAAGGGGAAGGCTCTGCAATAGGCCAGCAAAAGTATAATAAGGAAAAAAAAACTAGGATAAGGAAGAATCTGACAGTGGCCTGTATTAAGAATTGCAGAAGAAAGGAGTATTTTCAAGAATTGCAAAAACATCGACGTTTAAGCAGCATTTTAGTATATGCTGCTCAGAGTTCCTCCTACTATCCAGCAAATTCTGAAATCCAGACATTCTGAAAACAGAACCACCTTGAGGAATGATATTGGGATATTGGCTACCATTACAACAACAACATACCAGTGTAATCCCCACAAGTGGGGTCCGGGGAGGGTAGACTGGTAGAGTGTACTTAGACCTTACCCCTACCTTGGAGGTATAGAGGTTGCTTCCGATAGACCCCCGGCTCAAGGAAAAAAAAGGGTCTAATAAACATTTAACAGGAGTGAACAAGTCATGGCAAAATACATTAGAGAGCAAGTCAAAGCATGCTGAAAAAAGAAACACTACTACAACAAAAGAATATGATATTCGAAGTGCAAGAACAAACTACCTCACTACCATTTACTTACAAATCTGAGTCAACTTCAAATAATCAATTTGATTCAAATACAAGAAAATGCCTAATCTATCACGAGGCTTCAATTGATTTATAATCATAGGCAACAAAATTATGAAATAAGGACTATTACATAAGAGTTAAACTTATCTCAAGCTAATCCTGAACCTACAAAAACAACCTACCTCAGTAACTTGTACTTACAAATCCGAGTTAACTTCAACATAATCCAATCAATACAAAATACAACAAAATTGCCTAATCTATCACGAGGTTTCAATTGATTTATGATCATAAGATACGAAATCACGAAATAAGGATGAGAAACTTGCAATTTTGAAAATATGGATTGTACACAGTAGCGGGGAGGATCATCTTAGCTATAGTACACAATGAATACTACATAAAAGAGTTAAACTGATCCCAAGCTAATCCTGAACCTACATAAACATCACTGTCCTCCTGTGTGAGGTCAGGTGATGGTCAACAACTCAGGCCCGAAATGTTGAAACTGCCTCACTACCTTTTTACTTACAAATCTGAGTCAAACTTCAAAATAATCCAATCAATACAAAATACAACAAAATGCCTAATATAAACTGATCTCGAGCTAATGCCGAACCTACATAAACAAACTACCTCACTACCTTTTCACTTACAAATCCAAGTCAAACCTCAAAACAATCCAATCGATACAATTACAACCAAAAAAGTGCCTAATCTATAATGAGGCTTCAATTGATTTATGATCATAACTGATCTCAAGCTAATACCGAATATACAGAAACAAACTACCTCCTCACTACCTCTCCACTTACAAATCTGAGTCAACTTCAAACAATCCAATCAATACCAATAAATACAACAAAAATGCCTCTAATCTATCACGATTTCCGATCACAGGTAACGAAACTTACCATTTTGGAGATAAGGACCGTATTCAGTAGCGGATAGATGCATCTTGATGTCATCTAGAGTTTCGCACTGGCATAGATTGTTGTAATCTGCAGCGGTGAGAAGACCAGATCGGTGACCTCTAACGATGGCTTCCAAATAGCCACTGTGAATGTTGAAGGTAAGCGCTTCGAATCCGTACATGGTTGATATAGAATCCTCCACAGATACAGATCTGAAGCGGAATTTGGAGAATTTTTTTTCTAATCTTAGAGAGAAGATGGTGAATTGAATTTTGTGGGTATAGTGGGTTGGGGGTAACGAACAAATGAACAAAGGCAGATCAATCAAGTTCTAGAGAGAAATTGACAAATATGGTCCCTTATCTTTGGTAGTAGGTCAATGTAGTTCCTTAAGTTTCAACTAATCAATTTTGGTCCTTTAAGTTTGCAGAGTGAGCACTTTTAATATCGTTCAAATATTTAATGGATTCTGATTGACAAATTTAATCGGAATTGGAGAATTTTTCAACCAAATATTTGTCTAAGGAACTTAAAAAAACTACACCAAACACACTAAACAGACAAACAATAAACGAAAACTATCCCAAAAGTTGTTGTATACTCTTGAAATAGACTAAAAATGGTATAAAGTACGAAATATGTACTTTCAAATGTGAGTTTCTATTGAATATTTTTTATTTTCACAGCTCTGATTGAATTTTATAATTAAAGTTTGGTGAATATCTAACGAAAACTAAAAGTGCTCACTTTTGTCAAACTTAAAGGATCAAAACTACTCAAGTGATACTTAAGGGGCTATATTGAACCTACTATCTAAGATAAGGGACCATTTGTGTCCTTTTCTACAACTTTTAGCCTATTTAAGTGTCCCGTTGACAAAATGACATGTAATGTTTTTCTTTTTGTCTGATTTTTTTTTAATTTAATCATTTGGTATTGTAAATGGTAAAACAAAAAATGTCCTACTCAATAATTACAAAAAAAAACTATACTCCAATTTTCATGTTTATGTCATAAAAATTGAGGTGAAAACGAGTACTAGTTAACTATATAATTCAATGATAAGAAGGTATGTATAAAAGATATATATATATATATATATATGTCTATCACAAATTCATTGTTCGAATAAAATTCTTATCCTTAACCGGCATTACGAGGAGGGAAAATCGAACTCTTACCAACAGTGTAAAAATTCAGATAGTCAACCATCTCAGCTACTGAGATTACCCGTTTCAATAAATCTTAATGATTGAAAAAAGTAGTTTTAAATTGAGAAGGTTCATGACAAATTGAGTGAATGAAAAAACTCACTCACCAAATTAACAAAATACAAGATGGAGCTGTTCATCTATTAAACATGACTACCAACAAAAAAGAATGTGGAAGAAACTATCCTAAAATTGTCAAAAAGAAATTTATAGGTTGTAAGATCATCAAAATTATATATACACATAATGACTGAAGAAACAAAATAGCCATTTGGGACCAAAAATCATAAATAGCTGCTGACATTACAATCTCTTACAAATCTTTTAGAGTGCCTTTGTATGTCTGCTGCATCTTCCACAAATTCATCTTAAATGTATAGTGGTTCCAATCACTGACTTTGTTGTGCAGTTTCATTCTTGTATCCTGATGCCCTCCCACTTTTACCAATCAAAAAGGGCTCGGAAAAATTATTTTCAGGATGAATGTCAAGGCCGTGATATGACCTAGTCGCGAAGTACTCTGCACCAGATTTAGCTGTTCCGGGCATTAGAGTTTGCGAGTCCTTGTCACGAACACGCAAAGCCTTCTCTGTGATGTTCACTAAAGCAGAAACTCCATCTTCAACTTCTTCAACCTCTGAAGAAGAGAAGACATTTAAAACTTTAACAAGAAGAATGCCTTCAAGTTATAATTTCTTTTTTTAGAAAAATGCACCATACAGGCAGAAGTAATCACGGGCACACCACAAGATTAATAGAAATCAAACATAAAAGATAGACAGTTATGAAATAAGCAAGAATTGAATTTGCAGGATGAAGAGACTCCATTTACACTGGTGAAAAGACGAAAAGAGCATTCCAAGACCCAAAAATATCATGAAAACTATATCTTAAAACAAACCTAATTCATCAACTTAAAAAAAAAAAAGGACCAAAAACAGAATTTCTTTTTTTTGGTTCCCCACCCAGTGTCTGGTACCCACATTGGAACCCGACTAACTCCAAGAAATCCCACATTGGGTGGTAAAGCGCTCCATACCCAAGGGGACTCGAACCCAAGACCTTATGTAGTAATTACTTATCCATCATAATAGTCATAATTAAATCACTTACCAAAAGTAAATACAAAATCGACTGTGTAACTCAGTCAAGAAGTGATACTCGACAGTTTTAATATCTGAACAGAAGCTATGCATGTACAGTTTTATGGTAGATGTATTCATCTTGAACCAAAAAAATAAATGCAAGTAGAAGAATGCACCTTGCTGTTCAACATCTTCGACATATCCACCCTGAATGAATGAAAACCGCGCTTCTGACTGGTTTTTCGCTTCCATGGGGGAAGAAGTAATCAAATCCCGGAATTCTGTCACATAAGCCCCAGTCCATTCGCTTCCTCTGGAAAAAATTGATTAAATGATTTAGAAAGGTTGCTGCTTTGTTAATTTCCAGCTTGTCTGAATAAGTGTGACTATGATATATTTCATCGGTTTTTCTAATTTATTGAAGGAAATTATTTAACCAGACGACTTTTTTCCAATGTAACCAACGATAGAGGCTGGCACGCACTTGTAAAGAAGAAAAACTTCAATCCTTTTCTCATTTTTCTGCATTGACTGTCTTCCATAATATTCACAATAGCTATCTTATAGTGAGCAAAATTAGAAGTTCAAGTGATAGTCATGAAACCTCAAGAGATGGATTTCAAATTACACCAATTTGAGGACTTGAGTATCGCTTGAATGGCTTTTGGAAATCATTATATGATAGAATTAAGATTTGAAAGTCGTAACAATTCAAAGGATCCTAATGAATATATATTAAAGGTGAAAATGTTATATTAGTATAGGCTGAAGTTCTTTTTTTACATTCCCCTCCCCCTCCGGCTTACTCAAACTCCCAGCATTAAGTTAGAAGTCAAGAACTATCACCACTAAGAGCAACCCTTTCTTGTCAGCTTATACTAAAGAGATTATATAAAAACCTTCATATCTTAGAAGGATATGCCCCTAGTAAGTTTCAGCATGAACTGCCACTCCCTAACTCAACTCCTACTTTTGTCCAACATCAAGAAAAAGCTACCAACCCAGATACTCCACCACACATAATGCAATGAGCTTCCAGAACACGTGAATGAAAGCTAACAAGATAACTTTAATCTTTTTTATACGTTGGACTAACAGAACACTAAATCACTAAAAGAAACGTGAGTGGGCCAAACATAAAAAGGAGTTCGAAATACTACCTGCCGAAAGCAATCATTGCTTCAAAAGGAGTAATAACTGGAGCTAAGAACTCTTTACTATCCAATAGAGCAGTTTGTGCACAAGAAACATAAATGAAGATATCGCACTGCAAATATACAGAAGAGCTTCAGCAAACTCACAAATGACAAAAATACCTCTGACATCATGCAACTTTGGTGATTTACCTCAGGGAAGTTGGCAAGCTTTGCAGGGTTTGGTCTCCCCATAACAAAAGTATAGGCTTTCTTCCCAGCTCGTGTAATCAAGTCTTTCATCTGATGAATCATGTGGAGGTAACCAGCTGCACCAACAATAGAATAATAAAAGCTTTAGTCTACCAACTGCAAAGGAGTAAAACTTACAAATCGCAACTTTCAAATTGCACCAAATCTGAACCTACAAAGTCCAAGTATGCATACTAGAAAGTACCTACGCCAAGTGTCCCAACCAAGATCCCTATGATGCTAGCATCCTTTGCTTTCTCAATAAGGAAGTATCTGCAGAGACATCATTAGTACAGAAACCATGAAACAGTGTTAAAAGCATGTGCATCAATAATCAGAGAGCTAACAAAATCTGTCTGTTGAAATAAAGGGAATGTTACAAAAAAGTTGCTAATAATACCTACGCTTAAGAATCCTTTTCTGCTGAGAAAAGTCATTCACCAAAAGATCTTCAGTAGCATCATATCTGACTGGAATAACTCAGAGAACATAGAAGACAACAATCAGTAACATCAAAAAGACAGAACTAGCATCAAATTTTATCAGCACCAGATAGAATTGTCTACAGATAAATTCTTCTGAAAAAATGAATCTTCTAATAAAAGAGACAATAATTCAATTCTTCCTTTTTTTTTTGAAGGTTTGAAAGAGAGGAACTTCAGCAACATAAAAAGGTTAATAATTTTTTCATCCTCAAACTTATTATTATTGACTAGTAGAACCATTTGGATTTAGAAGATCAAAAGAAAATAAAAGAGAGACAGACAAAAAGTTAAAAACACCTCCTTTTAAACCAGTAAAGGAAAAAAGAATGATAATCTTATCTTGTTGAGGTCAGGATGTTGAAAGAGATATGAAAATAGATAGTACTAGATGGAGGATTTTTGCAGTCTCAGAACACTAAGTTAGAAGAATTTCAACAAGGAGAAACAAAGGCAATTCTAATGTATCTGAGAGACAGCCTTTACAGCCAAACAACTAAATGGCAAACCCTGACAACGTTACATACAAGAAAGTAAAACCCACACCTATTTCACAAGCATTGTATGTCATTAGTATATTTGCAAAGGCTGGGTCATCTGAACCAACATAGAAAATCAAATAGTCCTCCATCCTGCGTCCCACTGGTAACGACCATGTCAACCCTCCAATACAATATGCTGCATTGCTCTCCTGAGTAGAGCGGATATTTGCACATTGACCATCACTTAGTTCTGGCTGCTCATTCATCGAGCTAAAAGTCTCGGGTGGAGTTATAATTGGAGACATAATATCAGCATAATGGACTTCCAGCTCGAAGCATGCTTGAGCACCCACTGATGCTTTGATTTCTGTGATTGCATGTGCATATTCAAGTCCATATTGAACCTGCAGTTATAAGGAAAAAAAAAATTAAAAAAAATTAATGTATAATTTAGACTACTAATTTTTTGGTGTCCTTAACAAGTCTGATACAGAATTTTAAAATTCTGACAGCTTTTATTGTTGTTTGACTGAATCGCATATGGAAGCAAAACACACGTAGAGCAACACGGTGAATTCTAGCTTTAAGAATAGACCTAAACATTTATACAATTAGTGTCATTGCCACATCCTATGAAAAAGCAAGAAAATTATTAAGGATATTGTATAGAACATTCTTAATGATTATGCTATTGACAAGAAAATCATTTAAGGGTATGGTACAGAGTATTCTTAAATATTACTTATATAATAAATATAATCAGAATTCCAAGAATTAGGAACTTTTCAGGTTAGTTTTCAAGGGTTAATTCAAGGTTTTTTAAAATAAAGGTAAGTATTTTATTCACAAAAACAATACAAAGTGAGTACTCATATCTGTACAAGTACATTGTAGTTGCATCCGTCTCCTTTTATTGTACGGTTGTCTAAAGAGCCCAAAAGATTATCAAGGTGATTTCCATTTTCATATTGCACCAAAATTCAAAAGATTGTAAACATCTAAATTTTATGCAGTGCATTCCAAAAGCCGTTTTCTCGAAATATCTCGAGTTCCTCTCCTTCCAAATTGTCCAACAGTCCACAGCATGCAACAGGGAATAGTTTTCCGCAATGCCTAGAACTGTTTCTTTATCCTCTGACTTGTCCGGCCGCTAATGGCCTATCCCCAGGTTGCAAGGTAACCAATATTTATCAAAGCAACAAAAGACAAAAAAATTCATGCTAATATTGCACTAGACAAGATAAGCTTATTGCAACTTCCCAATGATAAACTTATGCAGAAGCAAACAACGGAATAGGAAGTAGCAGTTAATCATACCAAAATAGGTTTGCCACCTTTTTTAGTATACTCGCATAGTTTTTGAGCACAGAGTGGCACACCTAGTGAAGCTTTCCCAAGGACTAGAAATGCGGGAAGAGTTGATGTCCTGAAGCAGAAATAGTCAGATCCAAACATTAACTTTGTCAACTGTTCCGAAAGAATCCTAAAAGTAAGTTGCAAGGTGTGATGAAAATCATAAACATGCAATACTCACGGACTGAAGCAAGTACGACCATAATGGATAACGCAGTCCGCATTGGCATGAGATGCTCCAACTTCATCGACACAACAATTCCCATACATAGTATCCGCCATTACATACAACTTAACATCCTTTGCATCTCCATTGCTTCCAGCATGTGACTGGTTGAATGAGCGAAGCTTTTCATGTAGAGCAGCAACTATCCTCGTGGAATCTTTCAATAATTCATCTGGGAACTAACAGTTTAAACAAAACTTATCATGTACCATTCAAACGCCAGTGATCTTCCATAACTAGCACCTTTAACAAGCAACTCTACTACATCTCAAATGATACGGAAAAGAAAAAGAACCAGAAAGAGAGAAAAAAACTCTTGTTTTCTACATTCCTCAGATATTTCGTTCTTTCTGAAGACATTATATATGAAAAGAACTTTGAACCAACGAACAAGTTGATATAAACAAGGAAATTTGAGCTGTGTGTCAAATATCTCCCTCAAAGAAATCATGATTAAACTAGCCATGATATGGAGAAGCTCTCACACTGTAGAAGCAGGTCTAAATAACTCACCACCTTCTTGAAGCAAACAAGCTATTAGAAGAGATGATTTCACCCCATTATTCTTTTTTCATATCACTGAGTAGTTAATTATGCAGACAGTATCCTCATTTTTATTAAAGAGTTTTTGTCCCAACTCCTATTTAAGGCTACATACTTTGATTACAGACATGCATGACCAGCATACCATCCTAAATTCTCTCACTGAGCCGCTACTACATTTTAAGTAAAGGAAAAATGTGGTTTTTCCAAACTTTTCTCCTGCAATTATGGAAGTTTTTTTTTTAGATAACTATAGTGTCCAGGCCAGCTTGCACGAAGCTCGACCAATTCCATAGAATACCTTCCACCTCCCACCAGCAACAGGTAGGTAACTCTACTGTGGAAGGAAACATATCATTGATTGACTATTTATATAATCGAGCAATAAGAATATATTTTTTTTTGTTTTTTTTCAGTATTTGTAGGGTTTATGGAGACAAATTCAATTTTATTTCTAACAAACAAAAACTAAAAATTTGAAGAAACAAAAATGTTTACCTGAAGAGCAACTCGCCGGAAAGCTCTCGCCGAGATGAATCCGGCCACACGGTCAATCTCATAAGTCGATTCCAAGTCCATGGAGAAACTAAAAACTAGAGAGGAAGAATTGAAGTTCAGTAATTAACAGACAAAATCCCTAAATTGGCGATACCAAATTCCACACAGAAAATAATTTAAAGCTCGAGCTATCAACAGAGGTGAAAGGAGCTCGAAGAAGCCATTGAAGGGTTATGGAGAAAAATAACAAAAATGGTCCATTACGTTTAAGTACAAGTTCAAAATAGTCATTTAAGTATTACATTTAACAGTTTAGATGCTTTAACTTTGTCAAAATTAACATTTTCAGTCATCATCGAATACTTACCAAAATTCATTAGGTTAGATTTGACGGAAATAATAATGATGATGATGATGATGATGACGACGACAATAGTAATAAATCAAAAAATATATATATCATCAAATTCTAAAGAATTAAACACAAAAATATACTTGACACTTAAAAATAACATAAATTATATCTTAAAACTTGCACCAAACTCAAAAATACCGAATCAATACATATTTAAATAATAATTTAAATTTGTCATCAAACATTGGTTTTTTTTTTATCATTCTTTATATACATTTTCTTTTGAAATGTCATATCTAAAATTTTGTTTTTAGATTTTTGTTTAAAACTTCTTACATTTATTATTCAATTTTACTTATCAAAACCATAATATAAATATCAAATAACTTCTTATTTCAAAAATTAAAAAGAATTTGTGAATTATTCTTTATAAGTAAATAATTATTTTTGATGTTAGTTACTCAATTATTTTGGTCGATCTTATTTTAGATAACAAACTATGCACTAATTCTACTATTAATTGTGTAATTTCATTTTGCTCAAGTAGAAAATTGTAGGGATGTTCATTAGTCGCTTCGGTATGTTTCAAAAGATTTTGAATCGATAATTTTGATTTTAAATTTTTTAAAATACTATAACAAAGTATTTAATATGATTTGATGTTTCAATTTACAATTTGGATTTGTGCTATTTTTTGTACATAAGAAACTTGGTGACTTGGTGTTATGGAACTATAGATGAAGAATTGGGCCAAAAATGAAAAGTGAATATGAGTTTTTATGTTAAGGGCCTTTTGTTGAGTCCATTTGTATGAGCTAGGCCCATTGCGCAACTTTTATTAGTTGGAATTTGGACCATTTAATTGCACGGTTTATCGTTCAAATAAAGTAAAAGTATAAATTTATATCATGTAAAAAAGTTATTTATCTTGAATCGTAAAAATTAAATACCAACATAAAATGGGACAGAAGTGCAAATGAACTAATTAGGACTTGTTGGTATTTTGTCTCGTTTCTAATAGATAATAGATAGTACTCGAAACAATTCACTACCTAGCACGAAGATTGTGGGATCAAAGTTCATTCATACCAAAAATCTAACATTTAATACTTGTAGATAATATTTGAATTGACTTATTTTAAGTTTTTTTTTTTTAATTATTATTTTTGATAGTGTTTGAAAAAGATAAAAAGTATTTTTAAGCATTTACTTTTAGTACAAAAAAATACTAAAATAAGCTAAAAGTTGGGTATAATCAATTTGTCGCATCTAGCTTACAAGTTGTTTAAAAAAACGATCCAAACACCCTCTTAGTCTTATTTGGATTCATACACGATTCATTCATTTTCTTTGTTAGGTCCAAAAATAGCGCCGAGCAAGGTCATCACTATATATATATCATTTTCATATACAATAAAAATATTTACTCATAGCAATTCTTTGGACAAATATGGCTCCACCACTATATGACAAATCGAGTATATATTGGCCCTTTTTTTTTGTGGAGAGATGATGAAACAATTGTGGAATGGTCACAACTTGTGTAATTTAGTGTTTGTCAATAAGGAACATAACCTAAATTTGTTTGGTATTTTTCCCATCTTGATATATATATATATATATATATGTAGTACTAATAATTGATAGCTAGTGAAAAGAATTAACGATAGTTATGGGCAGAAAATAACAATTCATAGTACAAATTATTTGACATGATTGAGACAACATGGCAATACTGAATTTTTTGTCTGATTTTTGAATTTTAATTAAATATACTAAATTCTGTAAAGAAAAAACAAAAATAAAAAATAAAATGTGCTCTTCTCCTTACCGTTCAATGGCTTTCAGCTCCTTTACAACTATCTTTCACCCAACATGATTACGAACGAAAACAAAGAATTATGTAGAAAAGAGGACGAAACGAACCAACCCACTTAGCTTGTCCTGATTGGAAGAAGAAAGAAAGAGAACGGTGGCTCTTTTCCTTGGTTTTCAGCTCCTTTTGCACGGAAAACATCGCTGGAGAACAATGTTGGGACAGAGTGAGAGCCTTCTATTGGTTATGCCCTTTTAAGTGTCAGTTCTTCCATATTATATATATTAAAAATAATTTTATAAAGACCTATAAAACCAACCTTGGATAGAAAAATAGGAAAATTAAAAGATAATTAAATCACATAAAATGTTTAAAAAAACACACTATATATTACAATAATTACTTAAAACATTAGTACTAAAGTTCGAAAAAAGTGGCTCTTAGATTTCTAGTTGCATTTGCCAAAAGATTCAGCTGGAATTTTATGCCACTACTAAAAAAAAAACAGTGAAAATCGACCTAAAAAAAAGGATCGTAAAAAATCAATCTCCGAAAATCGATTTTATTTTTACATTAAAGTTCATAAAGCATAGAACTCAAACGTGGGGTGATTAAAACTTCCACAGGTTTTACTTTAGGCATAGTAATCCCTTGACCTTCAGTCATATCCACAGGCAACTTTGATGGTGGACCAAAGTTAAATCCTTGAATTAATCGACCAATCGTAAGGTGCGCCACTTGCGTCGCGAAATTAATTCCGGGACAAGATCGTCTTCCAGAACCAAACGGGATGAACTCAAAATGTTGACCACGAGCATCCACATTCGAATGTTCATTTAAGAATCTCTCTGGCATGAATTTATCAGGTTCTGAATAAACTCGAGGGTCTCGTTGTATTTTCCATGCGTTCGGGAACAAACGAGTACCCTTTGGGATGTTGTACCCCGCCACGGTACAATCTTCCACAGCTTCGTGTGGAACTAACAAAGGTGCCGGTGGATATAAGCGTAACGCTTCTTTAACAATAGCTTGGAGATAGACAAGATCTTTGATGTCGGATTCTTCTACCCATCTATCTTTACCAACTTTGTTGTCTATTTCTTCTTGGGCATGACTCATGACGTGAGGATTGTTCAATAATAGAGACATGAGCCATGTTAGGTGGACAGCAGTTGTGTCTGAACCATCTAATATCATACTCTACATGAATATTTGTAGTAGTAAAAATGGTTACACATCTAAATTTAAAAAGGCAATAGTAATATTTGAGAACTTAATAATTAAGGATTCAAACATTTACTATAGCAAATATGTATTAAAAAATTATATTTAACTTTTGTTTGATATTGGTATAGTATCTGTAATTATACACTGTATCAAGATAATCTAAAATAGCATGTATAATTGTAAGTAGTAACCCTAATATAGTAATCAATATATTTTAATATGTTGTATATGGCGTAGCAACCTTTTTTTTTTTTTGAGTTACTAGTTATACTTATTTGAATGGTTATTCATAATTATATTTTAAGTGACTTTGATAATATTTATTTATTTTTACATCATTTCGCATATAGAAGTTAAACTTTAGTAAAGCAAATAAGTTAATACTCCCTCACTTCTAGTTTATGTGAACATATATAATTTTCTCTTTTAATGTGTTTTAGAAAGAATTTAATTTTTTAAATTTAAGGCTCCTAAATGTTATTGAGAAGTTTTATAGCCGCGTAATATTATTAATTTTTTTAAAAAAAATTGGGAATAGGGAAGGGAAAATGAGAAGAGAATTACAATGTGAGGAATTGGACATTCACCGATAAGGTGACCTTTAGGTGGGAATTCAGATATAGTCAACTAATTGAGCTACTAAGATTCCACTGCCGCGTAAATTTTAAATTACAAAATTCATAAGTTTTTGTTAACTATACATAAATGTTAGTATAATATATTCATATTAATCGTGATTTCTTAAAGGGCATGCAAATATATAAAGCAGACATGTAAAAGTAAATGGAGGAAACATACCAATACTGTAGCCTTGATAACTGTATCTCTTGTATAACCATATGCTTTGAAATCCTCAAGTTTTGTCACTGAAAGCATTGAATCTATACAATCTTGTTCATTATTATTATCACCTTCAATTTTCTTTTTCTCCATATGTTCATTAACCCAACTTTGAAGAATATCATCCAAGTCCTTGTAAATTTGCTTCATGGTCTTAATATGCCCTTGAAAATCCACATATTTGAAAATCTTGAATGGAATCGCATCGTATAAAATAAATTCCCCAGCAAGATACATAATCTTAGCAAAGGCCTTTCTAAAACATTGTGCCTCTTCGTCTTTCTCTAAAGATATATACCTCTTACCAGCAATCATCTTCACGATTATATTCAGAGTTAATTTCTCGAACCATTTACTGATATTAATCGTGTTTGAATTATCACCCTTACCACATAAATTATACAACTCTTTGATGCTAATTTCCACCTCGGAAATTCTAACATGTTTGACTTTTTCAAGTCTAGTGCTAGAAAGAACATTTTGTAGCACGAGTTTTCGTACTTGACAATAATATGGACCATAATTAGCGAAAGAAATCTCGCATAATTATAGCCATAATGTTCAGCTGCTAGACTAATTGGTCTAGCAGCGAGTTCTTTATCATTAATTGTGAAGCAATCTTTCGCTGCTTCCCAATTATTAATAACACAATAACGATACATACCTAACTTGATAGTGAAAATCGGACCGTACTGATCAGACAATTTTCCAAATGTTCGGGCTAGAGGGACGTTTTCGCCATCGCCAAAACCACGAAGATGGCCTATGATTGGCCATGATCCCGGAATTTCTGGGGGTAGTTTTGTACTTTTCCAATTTCTTGTCCATAGAATGATTGATAGAGAAAAAACTAGAAGGGTTGCAAGTGATATTTGTAGATCATTGAAAGGAAAATTATCAAACATTATTCCCAAAGGAAGAAGGAATATATATTTGAGTTTTTTTTTCTCAAGCCAATATGCTTATGTTAGTGTATAAATAATATAATGTCAAGTTTATTTATAGGGAAGTTACTACTATGATATATTTTTTATTTACCAAGGTTTCGTTTGATTCGAAGACAAGTTATGCATAAAGTAATATTGTATGCGTTTAATTCATGAAGGTAATTATTTTAGTCATTTTAACTGTATTCTATTTTTCTTCTTCATAAAATAATACATAAATTATCACTTATACATATATTATTTATCAGAATAATAAATCATTACATTGGGGAAGTTGGATTTTGTGCAAGTAACAAAATGTTGATAAAATATTTTATTGTTAATACTAGATTTTGTGCGGATATTATAATGCAATAAAAGAGCCCTTTTATTTTTTAAATTAAGTATAATAGGTCAATAATTTTAAACAAAATGATTGCAAATGTCCATGGAATTTGCGCACTTTTCTATATATAGCATATTGGCCTATACCTATTCTCTGTGCATTTGGAAGAGGTAGGGTTTGGCTGTTTGTTTTTCAATTTTTAATTCGATATTCGATATTTATATAGGAATTCTGATTAGTTCAGATTCACATGGTGTAAAATGCATTTAAGGGGAATCTTTGCCTAACAAAAAATTTTCATATTTAAAATTCGAAATCGATAGCTTTAATTAAAGTTGCACTAAAAGGATTATATATATTCATCTCATCATAAGCATCGATATACATAAAGAATTATCAAATTTAAATAAAAATTTCAAATCTTTTATATAATATTTAGATTACATTGAGTATATATGTTATTGTTTTTGCATGGAACATACTATAAATTAATTCATTTTTCGAGCCATTGTGCTCTATACACAATGATTATAACGCATAGTATATCATTTGATATTGACTTATTTGTTATTATATTAGCTATGCCACCCTTCAATTTATTACCCCTAATTTTAATAGTATTTTATCTCTTAAACATTTTGTCGTTTTTTCATGACAAACTTCCAAAACAATTATTTATTATTAATAAAAAGAAAAAAAGGAAACAGACAAGCATCCAAAACTTATTCTACACGATTAATTGGCAATCAAAGAAATAATTAAACAAATTCTTAAAAGTCACTAGTACTATGCTTAATCGGTGTTAGTTTATTATTATTATTTGTCTCAATTATGTGTTTTATTTTATTTTTAGTATGTTTGGAAGGGGATATTATTTCTTCAATTTCAATATTTCACTTGAAAGGTTTAAGATCATAAAATATAAAAATATTTGATATACTAAGCATTTTTTCATGAGTTTAAGATTATCAAATTTAAATGTGTCTATTATTTACTTAAGGATCGTCTGATTTGTGAAATAAAAGATAATAATCCTATGATAAAATGTGAAATTACTTTATTTCGCGTTTGGCTGATTTCTTATTTTGAAATTAGTTTTTTTATTTGTGTACCATCTTCAAAAGGAGACAACAATTCCGAGATAAATATCAGAGTGACCAAAATACCCTTCTAAAACTCTTCACACAAAGTACTTTAAAAATATATAGTTAAAATTGGAAATAAAAGGTAATATAAACACATGTGTTTTATATTAGTTCTTATATATTTTATTTTTAATCCGATAAATCAAATATCTACCAAAATAAATATAATCCATGTATAATTCATTCATCCACCAAATGACCCTTTAATTATTCCAAGATTTGTCTTTATTCTTGCTTTTTCATATTTTATGATTTTATCTTTTATCCTTACTTTTTCACGTCCCAAGAAAGATACAATGCATATTATTTATGTATTTATATATAATCATAGTATATTTTTTCCTCCTTTGTTTATTTACATGTTGAGCCAATTAGTGTAGTTGATTTTTAATTTGTAAGAAAGATTCTTTAGTACTGAGAATAATGCATGTAGATTCAGCAGGATTAAGGGGTAAACATGTAGATTCAGCAGGATTAAGGGGTAAACAAGTTATGTACATAACATCGAAATAATAAATAATTTTTTGTGGAGTACCAATTTATATTTTCTTATTATAATATTTCACAAATTGTGTTGCATATCGAGAGGGAATAATGTATTTCAGAAGAAGAAAAAAATAGTTGCACATATACTCGTCTATCATCCCACGTTAACTACCATCTTTTTTTCTTCTTCATATCCCTAAAAGCATAACTCTACAACAAATTTTAAAAAAACTATACAACTTATTTGTTCCGGAACTCATGTTGAGCGAGGTGAAATTTCAATTTCGGAAGGTAAAAACTTGAAGGAATTAGAATTGGATAGATTAGGGTACTTAGGTCAATATTTTTTATATTTAATGAATGGCAAAGACAAGTATTAAGCACCTAAAATACGAGGGATAAAAATTAAACACCAATCAATTTTAACGACAATTTGTGCAAAAACATGTATCGTGTTAGCTCCGGATGAAATGGGCCGACTCATGGGCTTCACAACTTAGCAAATGAACAATTAAAGGGAAAATTAGCTAACTAGTCAAAATTATTAACATAATTATTAAAAATGTCAAAATGTCAATATTTTAACAAATAAAGTGTATCCTAATATAATTCATTTATCTTCCTTTTATTTCTCAAATTGGGCCCATGAAAAAATAAAAGACTCCATTACCCACTTTTCACTCTCTAAATTTTTTACCCAAATTCTATCATTTCTCTTTCTTAAGATTTCTTTCATTATTCTATTTTGTCAAGTAACTTAAACCTTGCCTTTTTAAAATCAAAATCCTCCATTTTCTAAGAAATCTTAGAAATTATTCAAAAGATTTTCAACCTTTGTCAAAGTATTGAGATACAAAAGTATTTTGTATGTTGGATCTGGATCAGGAAGAATTACCAGGTGAAGAAGTGCCATTTTTGAAGTGCCAATATTAGGATAAATCGTTCAAAAGTATTGAATTGGATCTGAAAGAAGTGTCGGGTGAAGAAGTGTCATTTTCGAATGTCACTATTTGGGAAGTTTATGAAATTGTTGAATATCAAAGTGATGAAAAATAACTTTATGGCATGTTGCATTTTGTATCTAAACTACCAAATTGTATTCTTTACTGTTTTTATTGTCTGTTGCATTTTGTATTCATTACAAAATTCATGTGGTATCTTGCTAAAATTTGAGTTTTTTAGATGTAACTTGTATTTATTTTGTAGGTGGTATTCATTTCAAATTATGTATATGTTTAATTTTGTATTATATTATAGGACAATAGATAAATACTTTTATAGAATTTTGTATGCTATTCTAAATTAGGCTTCCTACAATTTTTTTAATTTTTTTTTTGTATTCATTCTAACTATATGCCAACAAGTTTTGTATTTTTTTGTGCTTACTTTGTATTTCAATATCATTTTGTATTTCAATCTCACTTTGTATGCCAACAAATTTTGTATTTCTTTTTTATTTTGTATTAATTCTAAATGTATGCCAACAAATTTTAGATTTTTTGTGCTCACTTGTATTTCAATATCATTTTGTATTTCAGTCTCACTTTGTATGCCAACAAGTTTTGTATTTCTTTTTTTATTATTATTTTGTATTCATTCTAAAATCTTCTTCACTGCCAGTAAAAATCTTAAATCAATCGACTTCAATTCGACATGAATTGAGTATTTTTAATGGAGTGTTAAAAAAATAATATTGAAAATTTGAGGAATAAGGGAGAGAGAAGCCATGTCGATTGTGGAACCAAACACCTATAATAGGAAAGAGATTTTTTAAAAATTAATCCCAAAAGTAAACTATGAAAAGAGTGTAAGAGTAGTGAAAAAAAAAACTAGGCCTACTTAAAGTTAAACCAAAATTATGATTAGTAATTATGGTAACTTTGTTGGTTTAAATTTAAAAATTGCCTTATTTGAAATCCTTTTGATATCTTTCATCCTAAATAGCAGTAGATTCCTTAATATTCGTTTAAGGTTTGGCCGAGTATGGAACGATCAATGGCATATACATAATTAAGTTATTGTAGAACATTAAATTCTCTATAAAGGATAAATTCCTTTTTAAAAATATTCTCTCCCCTAAATTTCTCCATTATGTTTTTAAACAATTGTATTTTTTAATAAAAATAAATAAAAAAACATAAATCAGATGCATAACAAACTAAAAATCTGATATTTTTAATAAATATTGAAAGTGTGACTAAGAGATCCTTTTAAATGCTAAAATATTGACATTTTGAAAATTTCCCAAAAGTAAATCTAACACTTGGCCCAGTTAAGGTCTGGACTGGGCTTAGGGCAAATGATTGGGTTCCTATTTTGGGCCTAATGAGGATGGGCTAGACAAGAGAATAGTGGGTTATATGAAATTATCATTTTATTGACGAGGGTTCGATTTCACACCTTATGATCTCTTTCCCCATTTCCTACCCCCACTTTTTAAAAACTAAATAGATTAAATTTACATAATCTATATTATAAGGGAAGAAGAAACTCAATAGTCAATAGGACATAGCATTGGCTAAGACACAATAATAAATACTTATCGGTATTCGAGGTTTATATCAGATTATACTATTTTATCATGATTAAGTTATATTGTATGTGTAATAATAAACTATGAGTTCATAATAAAAATGTATGTTAAGATACATGTGATGTATTTATTTGAATTGATATAAACACTAAATAACGATGCGTTTTATAAGATACAATAGTAATATTCAAATTTGTATGAAGGAAAAAATATTTTTTTTAAAAAAATATTTTTTATGACAGATTTATCAATAATGTTCATGAATGCTTTCTCTCCTAGCTACTGTTTATGAATATAAATATTGATTAATTATAATCAGATCTAGGTCGATCCACTTATAATTAGTGGAAAATACTTTATGAGCTGTGCTGATATCTTTGCTTTAACACCAAAATGGACATAGCGTGTAAAAAATATTTAATTAATGTCACTCCTCAGATAGGCTAATTAATAAAATTGATTTTCAAATTTTATTCGGGAGGGACTATATATATTCTGCTC